TTAAACATTTTATTTGCACTTTGTACCAAATAATGCAAGCATTGGACAATCTCGTTAAAAAAAACGGTCATGCGTTAGAATTTAAAATCTGCTTACATTCTTACAGTCAATTATTATCATTTGCGTAAAATCCCGAGTTTGTGCTGATCCACCGATCCTGATAGAAATATGAAGAAGCCAAGTGAATGACGCACTAATCTAATGTAAAACATCTCCCTGAAGTACAAGTAACGTCACAAGCGTTCGTTTTTAAACAATAACTTAATCTATACTGTGTCTTAAGTATATAAAGTATTAGCCAATAGATATTAACAAAAATTACTATGGTAAACTGATAATAAGATACAATTAAAGTTAGCATTTAATATTTCTTTGATACGGCCAAATCATTCACAAAATCGTACATAAAGGAACGCGCATGCTCAGACCTGAATCGTTTACACCAATAAGATTGCGGTATTATAAACCAATTAAATTGGGGGTGGGCGGAGCGTCACGTGTCGCCCCGCCTAAAAGTGTCGCCCCGCCCCATCGTCCAGACTGCACTCTGGGGTACTACGGGCGATTTCGGGTTCAGCCTAAAGCCCCGTTCACACTACAAGCGACTTTGTCGCTGCATGTCGCCAGTGGCTGGCGATGAGGTCGCTAGTGGGAGTTCCCACTACTGGTTGCCTTTATGAATGACATCCAATGATGTGGAGAAGGATCATACGCGCTCCGCTCCTATTGGTTGTCGCTCCCGAAAGTCGCTCCTCATTTGCATAAAGTTAAACAGATGTCAACTTTGTCGCGTCGCCAGACACGCCCCATCCGGTCGCCAATGGTCGCTGTCGCGCGTGTCGCCGGAAATCGCCAGCTCCCCATTGAAATGAATGGTATCGTGTCGCTTGGTCGCGTGTAGTGTGAACGGGGCTTAAAGCCCCGTTCACACTACACGCGACTTTGTCGCTGCAAGTCGCCAGGCGCTGGCGATGAGGTCGCTAGTGGGCGTTCCCACTACTGGTTGACTAGTATGACATCCAAAAGACAGCGAATCAGCTTTCTTGCCATCCATCACTGCAGGCCCAGGGGCTGAGGAGAAGGATCACGTGCGCTCCACTCCTATTGGTTGTCGTTCGCGAAAATCGCTCTTCATTTGCATAAAGTTAAAAATTTCTCAACTTTGTCGCGTCGCTAGACACGCCCCATCTAGTCGCCAACGGTCGCTGTCGCGCGTGTCGCCGGAAGTCGCCCGCTCACCATTGAAATGAATGGTATGGCGTCGCTTGTAGTGTGAACGGGGCTTAAGTCGGCGCAATAAGCGCAGAACCCATAAGCGCAGCACTGTTTACAATGTGAATAGCGTCAGACTGACATGGCAGAGAAGAAATTGTAGAATAAAATCCATTGCATAATAAAATCCTTTTTTTTGCGCACAATATTCTCATCACTACATGAAATTAAGGTTGATCCACTGTAGTCACATGGACTATTTTAACGTTGTCTTTACTAACTTTCTAGGCCTTGAAAGTGGTAATAACGTTGCCGTCTACAGGGGGGTCAGAAAGCTCTCGGATTTCATCAAAAATATCTTGATTTGTGTTTCCAAGATGAACAAAGGTCTTACGGGTTTGGCACGACATAAGGGTGAGGAATTAATGACCGAATTTTGATTTTTGGGTGAACTAACCCTTTAATGCTAAAGCAATTGACTCGAAGTAAATTTCTGTTCCACGTGTTGTAACCTACACAACGTGCTCTAACATTTACATCGAATCTAAGAATAAACACAAAACACCAAGACTGAAACAGATATAGAATTTATTTAACCATGAGTAGGAAAAAAAATACATAGGTGTAAAGGAAACAAGCTGACCCTGTTATAAACACATCACTACTCAGAGAACCAAGAGAACTGGAGAAACAGTGAAATCCAAAACGCTTGTTTACCATTAGGTTTTTATCCCCAACACTTAATATTGAATTAAAAACAGCTGCCATTATTTGATTTTCTTTTATTAAATAGCTATAATCTTTTACCATATATATATATATATATATATGTGTATTTATTTATATATATATGCAACATTCTTATTTGAAACATTGTGCAAGTGTTATGCTGGTATTCCATAAATGGTAAACAAGAGTTGGTCCAGTGCATTATATAGTGACATTACCTAAATACTTATTGACTCTCAGCTGATTCAACCACAATCCTGACCATTGAACTACTACCCCTACCGACAGAGAAAAGTCGACTATGAAACAGGAAAAGGAAATTAAAAGGATTTCTATGGTGAAGCCAGAAACATCTGCTCAAGTGGATCAGAAAAAGAGGGGGGATGGATGCAAGCAATTATTGCCACGTTGACGTGATTAGCATTATGCGGTTTTTGCTTGTCGTGCACAAGACACCACCTGAAACCATTGTCTTTGACCCAAAGGAAACAAAAACGTCTCTGAACAATATGGTGATGGCAACAATATCTATACATGCGCAATTTATTAGAAGTGACTGTTTTTCAGAGATCAGTGACACCGAGTTGTGCACAGAACACAAGGAAGGAGAGCAAGAACACTTGTAAAACAAAAGAAAAAGTCTCATCCTACTCTCAACCTTACTTTCTCCTGGAGAGCGGTAGCAAGAAAACGCCTAAAAAAAAATCAAGAGAAAGAGACAGATAGAAAGAAAGAGATAGAGAGACTGCAATTCTTGCCACAACCCATGTGCACGCTTTAAACTAACTGGCACTCAAACCAGGTGAAATGCCACAAAGATCAGGGTCAAAGTTGAAATTGTTTGGTGACAAAATGACAGCTCTTTATTTCTCTGTGACTTAACCATTTCATTGACGTATCTTTTTTTCTCAAAAGTTTCTTGAAGTGAAGGTTAGCAACAATATAAATCTATAATTCAGTGTGCCAACATTTTTACAAAAAATTTGGTTTTGAGTATTACAAAACAAAAGCAAAATGAAAATGACAAAAAAAACTATTAGATATAATACACACATCAACACAATTCATGTCAAAGAAAGGAAACGTGATACATTATTTATTCACACTTTACAAAAATCTTTTTACTACAACACCATCAGCAATCCAATATAACCAGACAAGTTGCTTCCAATTAAAAACAACCAGAAGAAAACAAAAACAGACAGATGAGGAATAAAAAGGGACACCAAAAGGGGAACTATAAGATGGTCCTCCCCAGTTCATCTATTTACTCTTGCTTGATAAAAGTCATTAAAATTGACCTCTGCCTCATGGCAAAAGTATGTTTTCATTTTTTTTTTTTTTAAAAGCAATGAGTAGCTGCACCAGTGATCTACAATAAGTGCTTGTCAATCCATTCGATTTTTTAAAACATGACAAATTCGAGAGGGAGGGGCAAACGAAAAACAAATTGGCTTTGAGAGCACGCAGCAAGAAAACGACGCAGCGCTATCGCAATGCCAGCGTAGACGAAGTTAAAAGTCAGACAGCGCTACAGGAATGGTACTCTGGCCTTGCGTTTAGAGCAGAAAACCGACAAAAAACACCACGAACGTCATCAGTTCGGAGAACAGGCTTTACAGTAGTAAATCGAGCTTTACACTTGGCCTTGTGGCAGAATGAATTGGATGGCACGACACGAGGAGATAACCGTGGTCTAGCAGGAAGTGAAATACAGAACGAGATCCGAACGAATAGAGAAATACACAAGCAAAAATATACGGTTGAAGTGAATTGCCTGAGTCGAGAGGGAGGAAGTGGCAGTAAATAGAGGATGCAAATTGAAGGAGAAAAAAAAAAAAAAGTGAGGAATGGTGGAACTACATGAGAATGATCACGAGCCCGGATCGGCACAGCAGAAACTCACTTTACTCGACATTAGACACCCCCAAAAAACAAAATGAGGATATTGTATAAGTAGATTGAGGCTGTTCAGGTGTTCACTGATAGCACTGGCAGTGCGCTTAGAGAAACGAATCAGTGAGGCACAATGTCACGTGTTCTTGAATATCAAAGTGTGTAACAGGACCACATCACCAGATATCTGCCTCAGTGGAATACATCCAAAATAAAAAAAAACTTAAGAAAAAAAAAAACTGGTACACTGGGTAAAAATGGGAACCTGGACAAGTGCAACTTTACACAGCAGATACCTGAAAAAAAATTATTTTACACACGCTGGTCTTTTGAATGTTCATTAGGATGAACATTTAAAACTGATAGAAATTTCGCTTTCATTTACAATACAATCATTTTCATCCAAATCTAAAAGTGTACGTACAAAGAAAAAGAAAAGAAGAAAAAAAAAGAGATGCAGTAGATCAGGACATTTGTTGCTTGTATACAATCATATATAGAAAAAAAAAAGAAAAAAAAAAAAAGATTAGGAGTGAACTGGAGTCTTGGCTGGACGAAAGCGTCTACTGGTGACATTGAGGGTTTAATTTATCCGTCTATGAGTGAGATGTAATTTTCTTTTTTGCCCATTCTAGCATATTCTCGTCATCTTAACATGATCTCCTGCCAAACTCCCTCAGGTGCAAAGGCTAGTCACTGGCGTTTGCTAAAACACAGCTGGCCCTTTCCAGATGATTTCCCTTCATTTAAACTCTTGCTCGGCTGTACGCACCAGATCTGCGGGCACCTCAGCTCAAGGAGGGCTCTATGGCACATGAAGCTTGACAACTTCATAACTAGGCCATTTCGGGTCTTGAAATGTTGCTTTCTTAAAAGCATGAGTAAAAAAAAAAAAAAAAAAAAAAAAAAAGTACATCAATTGCTCTGGCATCCAACGGACTAAATTATGAGACGGGCAAAAGCCCAGTAGGTGATGGTGGGCCACGCAAACCTGTCACTGGTGTACAGCTAGAGCAAGGCAGAGCATCCGTGGAGAGGCCTCAGCACCATTGAGTGCAAACGTGAGAGTTCGGCCCGCTCTCTTTACACATTAAAAGCCCTTTTTTAAAGGGTTGCTCCTGGAGATCGTACTCTCTGGCTTAAGCTGGTGAAATTTGTTTGTCTTTTTCTGTCTTCAAATTCAGCTGCTCGCTCTAAACTGGCCTCAATAGCATGATCCAAATTATGCATTTCATGATATTTCGCTTGAGCTGGACTCCCTGCATGTTTCAAAGATATTGCCATTTAGTTATTTATATAAAACAAACTATTTTTTCCTGTCTTAAGGTAAAACTTACATGATCACTTGGGGCCCTTAGGGTTTTGAGAAAAAAAAAAAAAGTACAGAATGGTAACTTGTGCCCAGAAACAGAGGGAGAAAATTAAACAAAAAGAACAAGTGGGTGGGACGTGGTATAGATAAGACTGACAAAAGTGTCTGCTTCAGTTAAAATCCATGGGAATAAAAGTTTGCCATACCCCATCTCCTCATAAGAGATTCAGATTTACACACAACAGCCCTTGCCTCGTTCCCTCTCCACCGTGAGAGCAAAAGGGCCGGAGCTCCCCCTGCTGGCTCGGAGAACTACCTGCGACCAGGCAGATGAATGCCGTTGACAGCGGGCGGGTAGGGCAGGAGCAGCTCCAGTTGTGCAAACAGGGAGAAGTGATCAGAGGGGATGTGAGGATGGGGGCAGCCAGTGATACTGTTCTCGTGCAGCCAGTGGGGGTCCAGGGGACCCAGCACACCCAGCACGTTGAGCAAAGGTTGAGAGTAGAAGATGTAGTCAATGATGCCCTGAAAAAAAGAAAAACAACATCACAATTGTGCCATTGATGGTTTTAAACTTTAAGATTAAATATGGATTAATCCTTAAGCTTTTTTTCTTTAAGCAAATGTATTCGCTCTATAACAAGTTTATTTGCTCTATTACAGGCCAAACTGGTCTTCAACTAAATATCTGTAGCCATTTGAAATTAGAGGCAACACTGCATTTTAAATATGATCAAAGATGCTACACACATGTAGCATTAGCAGTTGTTTAAATGAGATGTAATGATAGGATTCTAAGGAAAAACAGAATGGTCTGACTTCAGATTTGTGAAATTTGTGGGGGGAAAAAGACGGACTGAATGAAAGGGCAAATTCATTCTCAGACAGTAGGTGGCACTTATGGAACCACCTAATATATTGTATATATTATAATACAATACATGTTATAATAAAAGTATTAATAGAAATTTATTATTTTTACTTTATTTTACAGAACAGTAAAACTACAATACTAATATTTAAGGTAATTTCTTTGTTTTCAAACATTAAAAAATTTAGCTTATTTTTGGTAGGAAACCACAGAAAGACCTTATCGCTTCTCTTGCTTGAAAGATTTATAAACGATTCTCATGACAAATGTTGCGTTCCCAAATGCAAATTATAGGCGTTAAATAATAAGTACTTGAGTAGCATTTACTGTGAATCATGCAGCATGTATTTATATAATAACTAATAATAACTCGCACTAAGCCATCTCAAATTCTCACCAACATGCATGGCCAAAATTCATAAAAAAGCAACATTTCAACGCAGATTTTTACCCACATTTGTTGCAGCACGGTTAGAAGCAATCAGTGTATGAAATAATTGTATTAGATCTACCGCAGCAAGACTAACCATGTCCCTTTAGAGGCTCCGTAGAATGCGTTATTCATTTTCAGTGCCTTTCCGAACAAGATATTTGACTTTGGCGTATCCCTAGCAGTGAGTGATTTTCTCTTTCTTTTGATGTTAGATTAACAATGACACATCTGATTTTCTCCCAACTCTTTAACGTCATTTAAGACTTAAATTAGATAAGACTGTGCTTATGAGGATCCTTGCTAAAAATGGGCATTGACAATTTTGTGTGGTTTTTAGCATTCAAGCATAATACGATGTAACGGATTTCTGTGCGCGTGTTTTGGGTTTACAGGGCTCCTACACATTTTCCATTCCAAAATTCCATTCTTTTCCAGGCTCAAATCTCTCACAATATTTAACAAATTATTCATATAGCATTGTTTTTAGCATGTAATAGTCAACTCTCAATATTTTTTATTGAACTCAAAGTAATAACATGTAGCCTACTTAAATGAAAAGAAACCTTAACTGCTTTAAAGGTCCCCTGACATGAAATTTTCACTTTCTGAGGTTTTTTAACATTAATATGAGTTCCCCCTAGCCTGTATATGGTCCCCCAAGTGGCTAGAAATTTCAATCGGTGTAAACTGAGCTTTGGCCATTTTTCTCTTCTCTGCAGCTCAACTTCCCAAAGTTTTGTATGGTCCAAACATTTCACCGACGACTGTTTCCTCAACTTTGGCCAATACAGAGCTGGCCTCGATGAACGTCTGAAAATAAATCGATCGAGCTACCAAGCAACAATTTCTGATGTGTAGCCTAATTGTTCAAGTTCAGACAGGTAATCTTTCTCTCAAAATCGTTCAATACGGTTTATGCATAAGTCAAGCCAGTGACTAAAATATCAACTTCACATCGTTTCTTTTAGTAGGATGAAAATAATCTTATTTAAATTGTGAACAAATTATACAGAAAGCAATCAAAGAACAATCTTTCCACACAGCGCGAGTTTATCTGGACAACTCGTTATGAAATCAATGACGCACGTACATCATCGTGTTTGCATTGGGGAAAGCATTAGAGAGAGTGCAGAAACTGCGTTGCAAAGATAAGATCTTCATGCTCGCGATCAACAGACTGTCATCTGCTTGCTCAATGCTCATCACGGCAACATTTTATGTGATGGGAATAGATCTAAATACTTTAAAAACTTCCAGTGTTTCCGCTACATTCATTCTGCCGTGGCGGGCCGCCACACCTAAAATCATCCCGCCACGGCTGCAGCTTCTCGGTCCGATATTGTTTGTGTTATTGTTAAGCCCCACTAAAGGCATACAAAACATTGTAAAGCACCATAAAGTTTTCGCACTATATTCCAAGACTTCTAAAGTCATTCAATAGCATAATGTGAGGTAAAAATGTATATTTAAGTCGTTAAGTTAAAGTTAATGGAAACTCATCTCTCCTCAGTCATTCTCCATTCAGCATTCAAACAGCGCGTCGCGTTCGGTTACGACAGTAACACATAGTAACACGACGACACTCTTCAAGATCAATGTTCCCTTTATACTATATTTGTAGATAAAGGTCTATAGTTTGCATAAAATTACTTTATCTTGCTGGAGTTTATAGCGCTTTCTAAATCACATTCCTTTCTCCCGGGTGTCTGTTAATACAGCACTAGAGTAGAGAGCACTATGAATTGTTCTTCATGGGCACTGTAAGTTAACTGAAATTTAAAACTGTTAAAAGAAAAGGCTTAATAAACTGTTGCATAGATATAATACATTAAGCAGATATAATCTCTTCGCTTATTTGTGCTTTGAACCTTTCAATGCGAAGCGCTGCACGCTGTGACTTCGCGTTGCTTCAAGTGCATCATTCTGCGCACGCGATGCGCATAATCGCTTTGCCGCTCTTATTGGCGCCTTTCATGTTATAATACTTAGGGGAGGTTTAAACACCTGGGATAAGGGGGCGTGGCCAATGGGAATATCACTCATGGGCCACGCCCCTCCCCCTGGCGAAATGGGCCTGCCACCACGGCTGGAAAAAATCCTAGAGGAAACACTGACTTCTCATGATTCGTTAATCTCGATAGCTGTAATAGTAAAAACGTATAATAGCTGTAGCAAAAGTATTCGAGAGAGTTTCGCATGTAATACATAGCTATTTCATATGCAAGCATGTCAGCCAATCACAGCAGTGGCTGGCTACACTGAATCCCACAGCAGACACGCCCCTTCAAACAGAGCGTTCAAATCAGAGGCTAAAATCAGGCTTGGAAAAATGCCTTTTATTTTGAAATTTTTGACTATTTTTGATCTAAAAAAACATACTAACATTATAAGGGCAACCCAGGAAACATTATAAAATAATAAAATAACCCCATGTCAGGGGACCTTTAAAACTAGGGCTGCAACTAACGATTATTTTGATAATCGATTAATCGGACGATTATTTTTCCGATTAATCGAATTAAAAAATCCAATTAGATTTTTTGTTTATTATAACTAAATAAAACCCTAAATCAGGATTGTGGCGAGCAGGACGAGGCCGAGGGACGTGAGAGATGCGAAACCTGTGCGTCTCACAGGTGTCGTTCATTATCACTCACGCCACCGGTCTCGCGCCGCTCTCTCACGTCCCTCGGCCTCGTCCTGCTTGCCACAAGGGTATTTATGTGTAAAAGTGTACTTTAAAAAGTGCAAAGGTCACACATTGAGTTTTACTAATATCAATATTTGCTTTGTTTTTAATGATAATTGCTGATGGCAAGTTGACAACCATGATTAATGTAAAATTTATTAAAATATATCCAACATGTTTTAACACAATTTTTGTTAAAACAAATTTACATGTTGTTCAGATGTGAAGATATAAACTAAAAACCATCTCAAATATATAATTCATTTAATTTATTTAAAATTAATTGAATAAGAATAATTGATCAAATAAATATAGAAAGACTGTAAACAAGCGTGTGAACGTAGAGCCGCAGTAGATCGCGTTTGAAAAACAATTAAAACTTAATAGTAGACAAATGCTATAAAAAGAAAATGGAATGGTACGCAGCAAGTTAACAGGCTTGATTAAAAGGACAGGAAAAATGATGCATTAGTGCACAAGCATTCGCTGAAAACCACTGAGTACAGTGACAAAAACAATCTTTTACTGGTGCTGTTATTAACTGCCTTTAATTTAGTGCTTCACTTTGTAAACACCGTTTTAATTTAACCTATTTCTGCGGTAGCGCTATTTTAATCCATCACTTATGTTGCGAGCAAACTGATTGCGCAACCTGATGCTCGAGACAAAATACAGACATCCCAAGTCTCGCGGAAGTTCCGGAAGTCATCCGCATATTGATAGCGGCTCCCTGATGCCCGCAAATTAGTTCAAACTCCAAGAAATCTAGAGGGCGCAAGCAAGAGCGCGCATGCGAGACACAAGAGACTGTGCTCCAAACATAGACTGTAAAAAAGATCTCGGTCCCTGCGCGCACGGCAGATCGGCCAAGGGAGAGAGACCTTGCGTGTGTCTCAAGAAGCGCAGCGCATGTAAGACAGAGAGCATCATGATTGGCCCGTTTCAACCAATCACCAGTAAACGCACCCTGTGACGTAACCAGACCAACTAATCGATAATGACATTCGTTGACAACTATTTTAATAATCGATTTTAATCGATTAAATCGATTAGTTGTTTCAGCCCTATTTGAAACCCAAGTATATTCAACTCCAAACCACAACTGTAGCATCAAACAGTTGTCAATGTTGCATGTTTACCTAACTGCAAAAGTACAGTCTGAATAAGATGATCATTTGCTCCTTTATCATTTGCTGGTTTGAATGGCACACGCACATTCATACAAAAGACTTGCTCATGGTAAAGAAACCGGTTGAACAGCTTAAAGCAGTTTGGCACAGTGAAATGGTGCACCTTGAATTCATTCAGCTGTGTTCAACAAACACTAAACTTTCTAAAGTTTTAGAAAACAAATGAAAAACAGCTAAAACAAACCTTAAAGTCAAAGGTGTAGTTGGTGTAAGGCATCAGGCCGTTCTCGTAGGCACTCTTCAGCTTGAAGCCGTGCGTGATCCTGGTGCTGGAGGTGCCGTTCTTGCCGTTGCAGTTGAAGTTGGTCAAGCTGTCAATGTATCGCAGCTCTTTGAAGTCCTTATGGGTGCTGTCCACACCACCTGTGCTCAGGTACTCCACCACACCTGTGTGTGCATGAAACTCTCCATCAGGAACTGAGCAAGGAGGAAAATCAAATCTCGAAACACTCTGGTACTGGCATACATACCCGAGTCAGGTAGAGAGTTGAGGTCAGCGCACAGGACGAGAGGGATGGCATTGGTTTCCCCAGAAACTGAGGAGAGCTTCAGACTGCGAGTGGCCTTATCCACAATGTTCTTCACTTCAGACAGGAACATCATAGTCTGGACAAGCTTCACATCCGAGTACTCGGGGTCCCAGTGCATATGAGCATTGGCCACCAGGAGGAGCTGTTTCTCCATGCCATGCAGAGACTTTCCAGCTATGGAGCAAAAAGAGAGACACTGCTTTAGATACTTGTCCAACCTTAGTGTCTCATTAATGGTAACAACACTTGAGCAGAGACTCTACAAACTAATAATTTCATATTTTCGGTTTTCATTTTAAATTTTTGTTCGTTCCTTTTCTTTTTGTAAATCCGTCTAAACACTTATTCATTTTTATATCGTCTTAAATTTTAGTATATCAAATAATCTTATTGATAGAAAGGTTTTCTTGGGAAACTAAAATTATTATTATTATATTTCAGTTATCTTATTTTCAAGTAACAAATGTTTAATAATTTTAGCCAACAATAACCATTTCACTTAAATGAAAAATAAAATCTACAAGTAATGCAATTTGAGATTTGTTAAAGATTACATTTAACAGTCTTACTAAAGTGTTTTTAAGGATGAACCAAATGAGAATTAGATGACAGCAAAGATAAATGTAAAAACGTAAATGTAAGGAATGAGAATGTACAATTAATTAGAGCTGCACGATTCTGGATAAATTGAGAACCACGGTTTTTCGGTTTCAAATAGAGATCACGATTCTCCCATGATTCTGAACAGACAACAACACAACGCAAGTAATTTACTAGTGGTTCTGACAATGTCAATTGCTGCAGTCCATTTAAAAATGTGTCATTTTAATGAATAATAAAAAAAAATCTGTTTGAATGATTCAAAATAATCAACTTCTCCACTGGTTACATTACTGGATGAACGAATCTTTTGAATGAATGATTCAATGACAAATACAAAATTTAACAGTCACTTGTCGCCACCTACTGGTGTAACGATGTAATAAGTTTTTATTTTAAGCACCGAATTACTTACAAAAGGTGACTATTTTAATCGCTACCATAGACAGTGTTTATATTGGAACTAAACTTCTCAGTAACAGAAATAACGATACTGTGTGATTGTAAAGACGGTTTGTGAAGCGGTTTCATACCTATATATATGACAACTGCTCTTTCTTGGTCAGTGGCAGCGTCAACACAGTAAGGCTGCTCCGATCAGGATTTTTCAGGTCGATCACAGGAAGCAGTATCGGCCGATACCGATCACCAATACAGATCATGGGGTCTATTTGAAGCCTTCTTTTTCTTTTTATCATGTAGCATTATTTATAGGGATGATCAGGATCTTAAAGACATTAATTCAGGACTTGAATTTCATTTTGGAAAATGGGGGAATTCCCCCCTTAAGTGACTCTTTTTCAGGGGGAAGTTGGTGGTGGGGGACATTTTTGTAAAGATTTTTTTATTTTTTTATTACAATTATCTCACCTAAATGTTGATCAAATGTTTGTTTTTTACGATAGGGCAATTTTGTGGCACAATAGCTTACACAGCACAAGCCTGATGTCAAACTTTGAATTACATTTACAAAAAAGACAAAGTATGCAGTCAGTAATAAAATGAGAACAAATAAACAAATTACAAGCAGTAGCACAAATAAATGCAATAAAGATACAAATGAAAAACAGTGCTTTAAGTTAACTAATAATTAAGGAATCAAATGTAAAAGAACACTAGATCTTCCCTGAATAAAATACCAATTAATCCTAACATTTAAAGTTACTGAGTGACTTCTCTTGTTGTTTGATTAACATTAAATGACAGACAGCAACAGGCATCTGATATTTTAAATCTGATGCACGTTCCCAATATACTGTTAGACGCGTTTCTTCTAAAATGTTTGCGTTCACTTCAGACATGATACTGCGTTTACGTGAACGCTTGCCAAGACGGTAATTTTGCACGTGTGTATTTAAACATTAAAGTGCAATTTGCCATGAAGAGACCCGAGAGCTGTTTGTAAGGCGGCTTTATCTGTGCGCTCTTTAATTGTGCATGAGCGCAGAGTCTCTCGGAGAGCGCACGAGTGCTGAATGGCTTAAAAATGCTTGAATGTTTAAACTGGCAAGACTTAAAAAGATGTGCAAATTATAAACTTTGGTGACGATGCAACACTGCCCAGCAAGTGACAGCATTATTTTCACCCGCGCCGGACAGATTGAGACGGCGATGCTGCAGGCATGTCAAACCACACCTCTCACGGCAGGTGCGTGTCTTTTAGCGTCGTCAGAATGAGAATGGTTTCTAAGATCGGCAAATTGAGAGATTATCGGCTGATAGCGATCTGTAGCCGATCAATCAGAGCACCCCTAGAACACAGATTTGATAGTTTCGCTGTGATTGTCAAAGGTTTAATAGACATAGCTGAATCGTTGTCATTCAGGAATAAGATTGCGTGGGTGTTTGAATCGTGATCTTTTGATTAATCATGCAGCTCTAAATTAATAAAAAAAGATAGTTTCAGTTCTTGATTATGATTGGCTGAGCCATAAAGCTGTTGTAAAATACTCTATAAACCCACACCTGTGACCTCATTACACCATTATTCCTCTATGGCAACCGTTCTGCTGAATGTTGCTGAAAACTGCATTGCTTGGAAGAATTATTATGGTATCAAAATTCATTTTGTTGCTGTGCTTAAATTATTAGTAGATCTGACATGTTTCAAACCACATGTATGATTGCGGTTCAGGTTTATAAAGTACATGGATCGATTACATCCAAAATATCCCACTACAATGCTTTTTCTTTTAACTCAGTGTCAATAATTATGTACTGTAAAATGTTTGTTAAAAATATTTGTATATATTCTGTGATAATATATATTTGTGTCAGTAAATCATACAAATTTAGAGTGCAACTGTAATGTAGAGAAAAGAACAAGGAAAAAGAAAACAGACCAGACTGCTCCATGATCTCTTTCCGCAGCTCTAGTAGTACAGCCACTCCGATGTTGTCCTTGGTCATCACCCTGTTCAACATGGCCTCTGAGCCCTCGGAGTTTGCCATAGCCAGCTGGTTGAACTCCACTGTGTGTTTCTGTACCAGACTGAACCTGCTCAACACAGAAAAAGCAAGGTCAGGATGAGTACACGATATGCTAGAACAACTGTTGTTCTAGAAGTCATCTAAAAGTCATCTCAGGTATTTTACACAATAATACAGTGGTTCTCAAACCTGGGCTACCTATAGAACACCAGGACCAGGATTGAGAACCAATAAACTAAAGCCCTGCAGTCTGCTTATTTATGCCAGACTCACTTATCCGTTTTGTAGAAAACGGCGCAGCCGTCAACATGTTTGCGGTCAGATTCAGACATAGTCCTGGCTCGGGACTTAGGGCTGAAGAATCCTTCGTAACCCTGTTCCTTCAGCTCCACCAAGAAGTAGTTGTAGTACTGTTCTGTCTCCACTTCCTAATGGGCACAAATGTGACAAATGTAAATGGCTGCATCCAAAATCACATATTTCCCAACTATATAGTAAGCAAAAACAGTATGTGACAATAGTAATGCACAGTACTCAGAAAGGTAAGCAAAAATCACCCGGACAACCTACTAACTTCCGGCGAGATTCTGAAGTGTGCATATGATGGACACTTTACTATTCCGTGAGGCCACAGAGGATTTATGAATGGCAGTGAAGCGACGCAACTAAAGCTGGTCACATGATAATTACAACATGACGCATGTAACACATCCAGATTTCATTCATACCGCACACATTCATATTATACAAAACATACTTTAGTTGTCGCAAAGTACTTATTTAAAAGAAAAAATTTATATTCTTTAAGAAAGTATGTGATTTTGGACACAGCCAATGTTTTTCACACAACGCTAACTGCATCCATAATGGTCAAACTTCTGCCAGATAACTTGTGACTGGATTGAACTGGAATTGGGAGTAATTAAACGATGTTGGTGTCAATGGAATAAACTGCTTTTAAGCAAAGATTGCAACAAGATTAGCCAAACCAAAAAAAGCCTTTAAAGCGCAGTTCTCCAGCTCCAGTTATTTATGCGAGTGGCTGACAAACCTGTAGGCTGATGATGTCCGCACCACAGTTGAGGATCTCTTGCATGATGGACTTCTTCCTGTACTCCCAGTTGAGGGCCCAGGAGGGACAGTAGCCATAGAGCTGACGTGTGGCGTACTTATCACACAGCACGTTGTAGCACATTACAGAGAAAAGCGCTAAAGTACGAAGGGAGAGGAAGCAAAATTCCAGTGAGGATGTCTTATTAAAAAAAATATTGATACAGAATATTACTACACTACAGCATTACATTCAGGGCTCGACAATAAGGACTGCCTGATGGACCCAGGCCCGCAAATTTGAACAACTGGCCGAATCGATCCCGTAAAAAAATATTTTAAGTAATTTCTTCACTTTCATATGGCATTAACCCTTTACGAGTTTCCTTCTGTTGAACACAAAAGATGATATTTTTTTTAAGAATGTTGGTAACTGGAAATCAATGGTGCCCATCAACTGACTATAGTATTTATTTTTCCTACTATGGAAGTGAATGTGGCCCATTAAATGTTTGATTACCAACATCTTTTAAAATATATTTTGCGTTCAACAGAACAAAGTAACTCAAAGGTTTGGAACAACATGAGGGTGAGTAAGTGACGACAATTTTCATTTTTTTGGTGAACTATCCCTTTAAGGCATTGTGAAATGTTTGCGAAATTGGCAATTTTTGAAATCAACAAAGCAGGTTTGTACAATTAAATTCAAATCACAATATGGAACAGTGTCCTTGATTAGAAGACCATAAAGAGACTGACATTTAAATATCAAGTCTGCATGTTCTGTGTGTGTCAAGAGTGAAAAAGCAGCACATGTTGGTCTACTGCACATACTTCAAGCATGTGTGACACTGGTGTTTTCTGCGTAAGCCCAATCACTATAGAAGGACACTTTAGAGTTTACTATGAGCCTTTCACCATTTCATTTGGGGGAGGAAAAAAAAAAAACTTTACTACAAACCATCAAATTAAAAGTTTGGTTAAACTTGAAATTGTACACTAAAAACTGTACTTAATGTAATAATTACAGCAAACCTCTGCTGTGAAGCTCTTTATTTGACAAAAGCAACAGTAAGAATGTTTAAACAGTTATGTTTTACGAACTCATTTGATAAAATTTGTTTTAATCAAAAAGCTAAAAGTTTCAGAAAATAAAAAGGAATTCATAAGGTCTTAAATTAAATTTCTTAGATTTCTAAGGACTCTAAATTTAGAGAACCAGGTCTCAAAGTAAAGGCTGTGCTCTGAGAATATGTCTTAGTTTTTTATTATTATTTGAAAAGAACTGTCTAAATTGCTGCACCAGGGTAAAGGTGAAGTGAAAGAACAAACGATACAGTTAAGGTCTGTGTAGCACAATCTGAACTGAAGTGAAAGTGTCTCACCTGCTGGGCGTGTTCTGTCTGTATCCTGCAGTGGTATCCATGAGCGAGATGGTGGCTGGTCTATAGATACTATGGCCAAAAAAAAAAAAGGGGTCAGCGAGTGAACCTCTCAAAAACCGAGCAATAACTCAAATGGATATGATCCGACGCAATGCCATGCAAGAACATAGTTATATTATCCGCACAGTACTTCAGAACAAATCAAAAGAAAGTGTTCAATTAGAGAACAATGGCATGACTCATTTCATTGCATGAAATTAATCTGCACTAAAAGAGCATGTACAAGAATAGAAGCTTTTCAGTGATCGCTGTACAAGCGGAGCAGCGGTACAAGAGTTGACTCACCACGTTTGGTGCCTGCAAGATTGTCCAGCAGGTAGTTGAGGAGCCGGCGTGTCCCATCAGGCTCTTGGTAGAGGTTCAAGATTTCTTGTGCAAGAGGGTTTCCTACAGAACACAACCAAACATAAAGCATGACAGGAACATGGATAATTACAGAACCAGTACATGGGTCATACTAAAATTGCATTTCCAACTGAATTTCTCTCAAATGCCACTATTTACATAATTGTGGATCTAAAAAAAAAAAAAAAAAAAAAAGGGAAACTAACAATTTAAGAGCGTTAACATTGACATGCACATTTAAAATAATAATAATAAATATATATATTTTATAATTAAATGTTGCATATTTTAAGAATTGATATATTAGGCCTACATCAATTTATGTAATGGTGTGTTTTAAAAAGCGTACTTTACAGTTCCTATCTAAAAGTAACAGCTTGTGACTTCAATTGTAGAATGGCCCAGATAACAGTCTAAAGTAATAGGACTTAAAGAATAGTTACTGTAGAGCAACAAAACAAACAATTAACTAGGCCCACATGGATTCATATTCTTTGGCCATTGAATGTTTATTATGCACTTGGTCTAATTTGATTATGCATTTCAGCTACCAATAAGCTCAGTAAAAAAAAAAAAAAAAAAAAAACCTTTACCATGTCTACATCTATTCTGTAGATTTCTCTAAAACCAGCACATAAAAAGGAAAAATGACCATCTGGGCCTGCACAACTGAAGTTTTATGGGTTATAAAAGGAAGTAGTACCTTTCAAACCCAACGTTTGTAACTGAAAGAGTTTTCCAAGCTCAAAAGGCAGAACTCGTAACTGGTTGTTATTTAAAAGCAGTTCCCTGTGAAACAAACAAAACAAAAAAAAAGATAAAAATTTGCATGCCATAAAAACAATCATACAGCAATAAGCATCTGAAGCATACAGGGATACAAAATGCTACATAAAATCCAACGTCAACAGGCCATTTTGGCATATGAACCCCCATACTGCACAAAACCTATCGCAGCCCAGTGCATTTCAGCTGTTGGATAAAATCCCAACCACTTTAAAGGTACCTAATACAGTAGCATTTGGGCTCCTCTCAGAACATGATTTATAACCATCCACAGCAGCAGTAATCACACTAGCAGAGAAGTGGTAACATATTTCAACCTGTGACAAATTAAATTGATTCAGAGCAAACCACTGTGTCCCCCACATATGAGAACAGTGGTGTTCAGAGCTCAGGCCCTGGATGCAAACTAACATCACCTTTGAAGAATAAAGGACCTAATTAACAATACCCATAGGCTCAACGACTCGCGCAACAGCAAGTATTGGGGTTGAAAAGTCTCTGCACACTACCACAATAGCCTTATCCATCCGCCTAACATCAAACCACAATCTTTATACAGTGTGCCACACAGCCAATTAGCCACCCACCTGAGAGATACCATGTTGCCTAGCTCAGCAGGCAGGCTCCTGATCTTATTGGACGAGAGGTCCAGGTACACCAAGTTGTGTAGTTTGGCAATGTCGGGTGGGATTCGTGAAAGTGAGTTATCACTGATATGAAGAGCAGTGAGGTGGGTAAGGGACCATAATGACGTACTCAAACTTCTCACTTTCCCTGCAAAGACAACAGGACGTAAACATTAAATTGTGCGCTAAGGGCGTGAAAAGTGGACATCATTTATATATCTACTACTGTAAAGTGACGAGACTGCTTGCATATGTTTTCATGCACATTAAATAATCAAATGTGTTGATTATTTTCATTATCGATTAGTTGTTACAGACCTACTATAAAAAATATATACATTTTAATTAGCATGCAATATATATTACTGCATTTATTGGAAAGATTTTAAAAGTGCAACATTGGCTACAACAACACCCTAAAGGCCAAAGGATGATATATAGCTCTAAAGAGTCCACACAACAACTTTAACGGCACAGAGAAACAAGATCATTGCAATCACTTTCAGAATAATTTTCCCCCCATCTGATGAACAATAAAAACAATTCTGCTTTGAAGCACGTAATTTTGATCAAAGATCATGAGCACTCAATTTAAAAAATAGGCACAGATAAATCATTTATAATAAATACTGCAATAGCCTATAAATAATGAGAATAGTCCATTTTAATTTCATGGTGACTTTTACATTATTTCCAGCTTGTCTCACCTCGGAGCAAATTACTCGTTGTACAAACATTTTCCTTTGGATTAATGAGGACAGATGATTGACGCACATAGACCAGGAATGCATATTGAAGTCGCGTTTAGTCACATGCATTTAAAAAATTCATACCAACTTTAAGTAAACTGGGTCTATTTTGATTTCATTTGTCTTTGACATGTTGGCCCCCACTGAGAACCCCAACATTACCAACAATCTCCAACTCTGCCCAATATGACTTCTTCCCATTCGCCGCCTCCTCAGTGGACATTATCGTGTACATCCGCCTTGGGTCAGGCGGATCATATTTTTCCTTGGGCATCCCTGTAATACTGAAACACAAACAACAAATCACTTTCACTACTGAACACCATTACAGAAAATGTATTGCACACATGCACTTTACATAAACATGAAGCTGCTTTTATCCTGACAGGAAACCGAATGGGTGCAACCGTGCAAAGAACAGGTGAAATGCCTAGTGAAAATAACACTGAAAACCCTCTGAGAGTGAGAAGTGAGAACACAAAAGCAATTCCAAAATCAATAGCCGAGGGGATTTTTCCATTAGAGATACTCGCGCGCCGGACGACGTCACTACGCTTCTCAAATTTACATAATGCAGCTTTCAAAAGGCAGCGATTAAAACGAACACGAGTAATATTTTAATAGTCTATGACAACTAAGCACTCAAATAAACTTTGAGCAAAGTTTTATTTGAAACTAACATCTATCGCTGGTAAATCCGCGCTCTTGCGTGAGCAGCTGGCACTGTGGGCAAAGGACTAAAGTTACTATATCGAAGCAAATTCAATTTATACAATGTCGGAGTACAATTTTAGTCAGAAAAGGCACAGAAAGAAAAAAAGTCGACTCATATAACAAATTCCATGAAACAAAGGTGCAACTGAAGTCCTTGTAACGGTGTAAAACTGCACTCCATATAAACACGGTGCCAGTATATTTCCTTTAACTTACATAACTGTAGTGTTAATCGCCAACTAATCACTTAACCAACAGGCCAGAGGAGCGTCAGTTTTGGTCTTTCATCATCGCTGTGCAACTCAACTCAACCCAAACAAAAACACCACCACCTCGTGTTTATTTCCCAGAGCCACGTTACAGAGCTAGGACTGCTAGCTGAGCGAGCCTGACTCATGAGGGGAACAAGGCGTCTTAATGAGTCGATTAAGGGTAAGCAATTAGGAAATGAATTGACTTTAGATGGTGCTTGAGACAGATTTGCTGTCTAACTGCTTTAGTGAATTAGTTTGATCGGACCCCCTACAATGTTAGCGCTGGCCATTTACAGTAGGGAACCTCTCTTGACAAAGATCGACTTAACTTTGTAAGTGCATTTGTGCGATATTAATCGCCTGGAACACACAGAAGTAAACTAATAAGAGGTTTTATGATGTTGATAAATGCATATTGTGTTAGCTTATGTAGCTTCCCTAGTACGGACACAGCAGGCTGCTTACATAACCAACAACACAGATCTCAACACGTAAATTCGCTTCGTTGATCATTTCATCCAATCCGTCATAGTTTTCAAAGTGCCCACGCACGCAAAGTGGAGAAAATACAAATTGGATCTTACCGATCCTTCATTTCCTCTCTGTTCAGATTGAGCAAATTAGCTTATACGCTAACTGGCTAACAGGCGATTACACATTCACAAAACTAGACCAACACTACGCGTAAAGCAGTAAGAAAGAAACATATTCCCTTGCTTATATACCACTAGATACAACTGAAACGCCTCAAACGTGTATTTGTTTTACCTGTAAGCTCATACCAGTTCACAAAGACGAGTGCGCGTTTCCTTTGTTTCTGATCCGCTGCTCTTTCTCACTGATGGCAAACAAGCATCATGGCGGCCGTGAGAGTTTCAGGGCGCGATAAGAAGCGCCCCGATCATTGGCTGCCCCTGAAACAAGCGATCTGATTGGTCAGCTTGTCCACTCGACGCCTCCAAACTGTTTACGCCAGCGAGGCAGGTCAAAAATGGGAGTCACAAAAATAGGTCAATTTTGCGGATGTTGACAAGTAGAGTACAACATAGATGCAGTTTGCTATAAACGCGCTATAGATCATTATGTGACGATAATAGTAATGACAATCTATTACATAAAATGTAAGAAACACAGTAAGTAAATAGGGGCGTGTTTTGTTATATAAACACTTTAAATAGGCTATTTGAAATTAGTGACTGGTATTTAAGAGATGGGCTTGCACAGATTTTAATTGCATCGACGTTTATGCGAACTTAAAAATCAGACGACACATGCAAAATATGCGAATCATTTAATCTCTGTTACCGATGTGAGGTGTATAACTTCCCAATAGGCCTAGCCTATATTATATTAACCACGTAGAATAATATGTGAAGAAACAGTTTTCAAGAAAATAAAATATAATCTGCTATAGCCTAATTAAAATGCGTTTTTGGTTGCAGTACATTTGATAAACACTGGATGGCATCATTTAGCTTTACACACATCAGGGCTTTGTTCAAAACTGAATAGGCCTAGTTTACAATAGGCCTACATGTTATTTTGTCAATAGTAGCTGAAATAGTAGGTATTAAATGACTAGAATGTTGTAAATGCTGCAAAAGACCAACCAGAGAGCCTATGATGACCCCTGTCCTGTCCACCGTTTGAAAGTGCCTACAATGAGCACGAGTGTCAGAACTGGACCACTGGACCTTAGAGCAGTCGAAGAAGGTCGCCAGGTCCGATGACTCCCGTTTTATGAGTGGGGGTTCAATCTTCAGCTGGCTGGCAGGTCACGTGACCTGTCAGTGGCTGGCTGCCAGTCTGAGCCTGGCATGTCACGTGACCTGTCAGTGGCAGCTGCCAGTCTGAGCCTGGCATGTCACGTGACCTGTCAGTGGCTGGCAGTCTGCCTTTGGCAAGTTTCAGAAACCATTGATTTTTGACAGTTTTTGTGTTTTGTGTTCCTCCCTTTCTAGCTCATTTATTATGCATTTGTTGATATGATTATGTTCTTTAGTATAATTGCTGTTTTGAGGACTGTTATCCCAATATAACCAGTCAAATGGCCGTGATCAGACTGGCAGCTTACAGATGCTTGCTGGACGCTCATCCAGTTAGCCGCGGCTGAACTGCGAGTAACGCGTTGCCTGACACTCTCGCGGCAAGGAAATACATTGTTTTCTTATTATGAATATGTCATGCCTTTATTCTTGTCTATGATTGGTGTTTTAGAGAATTTTATCCCAATTAAAGCAATCAAATGGCCCTGGTTGCTTACTGTAGTTATATGTTGCCTGCCTCTCATTCTAAGGAAATAAATCTAACTTGTGGATACTGCAAGTTGTGACGATTTTAATCCTTGTGAAAAAGTAGCCTATAAAAACGTGAATTAATCCCAATAACATGAATCTTTGTCATTGCCTTGACCATTTTCTGACACCAGGACAAAATAGAGATGCTTTTAAATAATTTGATAAAAGAAAGCTTTTTAATAATTCAATAAAAGAATGCCAACTTTAACGGTAAAATCACTTAGCACAGACTGTATCACTATTTTCAAATTTACAAAGACTATTTACAAATAAAACCCAAGAAAAAAACTATTTACAAATAAAAACAAAGAAAAAAAAATATTTACAAATAAAAAACAAGAATCTATATAGGCCATTGCTTGTCGCACTTAATTAAACTATTATTCAACACACACACAGTGTGCAGTTGCAAAGAAGAATAGATGCGTGACATTATATTCATAATAAGAAAACAATTTATTTCCTTGCAGCGAGAGTGTCAGGCAATGCGTTATACTCGCAGTTCAGCCGCGGCTAACTGGATGAGCGTCCAGCAAGCATCTGTAAGCTGCCAGTCTGATCACGGCCATTTGACTGGTTATATTGGGATAACAGTCCCCAAAACATCAATCATACTAAAGAACATAATCATATCAACAGATGCATAATAAATGAGCTAGAAAGGGAGGAACACAAAACACAAAAACTGTCAAAAATCAATGGTTTCTGAAACTTGCTAAAGGCAGACTGCCAGAAAACTAGCCAGCCACTGACAGGTCATGTGACATGCCAGTGGCGGCTCCTGCCAGCCAGCTGAAGATTGAACCCTTACTGCGTTTTATTTTACGTCACGTGGACGGCCATGTACGTGTGCGCCTCTAGAAGTGATGTCAAGTGTTGCCCTGGCCTCCAAATTTCCCAGATCTCAATTTAAATTAAGCATCTGTAGGATGTGCTGGACCAACGAGTTCAATGGACGGCGGCTGCATCTTGCAACCTACAGCACTTGAATGATCTGCTGCAAATGTCTTGGTGCCAGATCCCACAGGACACCTTCAGGGGTCTTGAAGAGTCCATGCCTCGGTGGGTCAGCGATGTTTTGGCAGCACGTGGAGGACCATGGTGACTTTAAGGTCTGTGTGGAAGCTCATCTATATTCAATGGATTATACAGACAATTTGCATAACGTGGACACAGTTCTCCTTAGAATTTTGATTGGGGTATAAAGTGAAATGCAGTAATTGATTTAGTTTTTTCAAACTGTAATGCATATTGGATTGTTTTTATGTTTTCATAAATCATAATCTTAACAGATGCTGAGAAAATAATTTTTAGGTGTAATTTTCTATAACTGATTAATTCATAATTAAACCACAAACATAGAAAAAAAAAAAACACTTCAAGAAAATGACACATTGATAATAATAACTACATGTACTTCAACTATTATTAAAATGGAACATGAGGAATTATTCCAAACAAGTAGTTTTGAGCATACTATCAAACACAGGCCTTACTAACAGAAATCATGTGCTGATGAATTCACATCATATAAAACCTAATTCACCACTGATATGTAAAAGGAATGCAGGCTTTTCAATAAACTGTGCTTGAAATGTGGGATGTAAAGATTTGGTGACAACACTGAAACTGTCAAGAAATAATCCTGCCATAAGCACAAACACACTCCCACCTGCTGAGGGCTAAATATAGTTTCATCCCTGACATCTTCCACATCATGATGCATGCAACCAGGCTATACCTTTCATGATAGAACATTAATAGGTCTGAGATCTTGAGGTCAGGGCTGAGGCCTTGAAGATACCTTGACGTGCCTTTTGTTTAATGAAATCAGATTCAGGATATTAAAGATAACAAAGCACATCCTAAACAAAATGAATATGCAATCTAAAACCAAAGCATTTTAGATACATATGTAAACCGAACGTTCATCAAAGTCTTTTCTGTCTTCATTCATACATCACAGAAGAATTCTGTCATTGTTGTCTGATTTCCAACACATTTCAAATGTGATAAAACACCCAATTCCTTAAAGCTAATTTCACAGCTAGCATTTTTATGCATTCTAAATACACGCAATTAAACATGTTTTTGCACCGTTTGCATAATTTGACAAAATTATAGCTTGATTGTATGACACAATATAATTAGCTTCACATGATATTAACCTTAGTTTTCTTTGTGTTCTTCAAGTCTCATATTTCACCTTGCACTTAACTGACACGGTTGTCTCCTTGGTACACTAACACTAAAATTCTTGAGAAGGGACAAAAGTGATCAGTGTGATGGTGGACATGGTAAAAATATAAAACGCTAAAAAGTTATTTTTATACAATACATATTAAAATGGCTTATGTTTGTTGCACTGTTTAGATTATCATAGTTGTAATTGTAAACTATCATATTTTTGATGATACATTTTCATATTTTAAAGTGCCCCTATGCTTTTTTTTTCTCGATATTACCTGTCATGTGTAATATAAATGTTTACTGTTCACTGGCTGCCTGCGAACAGCATCTACTTCATCTACTTATCTGCACTCAAACACTAGGTGAATTTACATGGACCCTAATAATCCATTTGGAATCAGACTAGCACAGCTAGAATATAGAAAGTCACATGTAGCCCCATCAATCGGAGTGAATTGGCCAAATCCGATTGAAATTTCATTCAGATTGTCAGAATCTGGAAAGTTCTGCAAATGTGTAATGACGTAGCAATGGTAGGGCTATATGAGGCATGGAACGAGCTGTTGTTGTTGTTGGATATTGTGTCCTAAATGACTGTCGGGTCAATCTATAATTCTCCTTCCACTCATTGTCTGAAAAGTGGTGTAGGACAGTCTTTGCTACTGACTCTCATCCACAGGCGCCTTGTTGTGGGAGAGGGAAAAGGTGCGTTTTTACTGCTTGATAAATATAAGCAGGACAAGCGGCACAAAGCTCCATTTGCTCATAGTCTCTGATATGACCCAAAATAGATACATATTAAAGGGTTAGTTCACCCCAAAATGAAAATTCTGTCAGTAATTACTCACCCACATGTTGTTCCAAAAAAGCCTCTTTTCGTTTAAATTAAAAAAAATATTAAACATATTAATATGGTCCAGGCAATATGTGCATTTGTACTAAACAACAAATGTTGCAGTAAACAACATTACGGTGATCATCTTCACTGTAATAAAATGAAAAATTACAAAACTCAACCCTGTCTCTTTTTGTTAAATTTCAGTTTTATCAATAATAGCCATTATAAAAGTATAAGTAAAAGGTACATGAAGCTATACAATAATAAATAAAGCAAACAATTCAGTCAAACATACAAAGTCAGCGCTCTAGTCTAACGTTTCAACGTTAAAGTTAAATAGCCTAAATATATAAAGTTGTGAAACTTCAAAACGATTGGCCAGGGATCAAATTATTGATTCACGAGACCAAAGATCGCCCGTGAGGAGGTCTACACAAGACGAATTGTATCTCATGTTTAACCACTACAGAGACATCAGCGGCAAACGTCAAAACGACTATCCAAGGAAAGGCTGTTCCAAGCGGGGTACATGAGCGTCAAGCGCCCTG